AATGTTTCTTTCCAATCCTCCATAGGAAAAAAGATGGTGACTGGTACATTTACCCATAATTCTTAGCGCAAAAAAAACCTTAACAACGTTCATAGAAACGTACAGGAACGTTATAAAATCTTCAAACCTAAGCTACTCAATGTCCTTAGCACAGGGAAAAATATTATTAAAAATTTGGCTTTCTTTTTGCCTTGTAGGCTGCTTTAGGTTCGCAAGGCATGGTGGTAAAATGTACAGCCGCCATCTTTTTCCTACGGTGGATTCCATCACACTGAAGACCACTGAAACAACTTGAGCCTCAATCAAGCAACCGTGAACCACAATTACCCATATTACCTTTCGACATGTTTGTACGCTCTGATAGGACAACCTTTCTAAAAACAGCTGTATGTTACTACATAAAACCCGCTATACACATGACAACGACTTCTCCTAGCGTAAAAAGATATGAATCTAAAACAAACATGATTAGACTCTTTTACTACGAAATTGTCGCGGGCTATATACCGTTTTCATTTGAGGAGAAACTATTTCAAGAAAATAACACTGCCGTTGTTTGTAAAACCTGACAAAAACACTCCGTTGCAAAATTCGTTCTAATGAATAATTTAGCTGAAGTAGTAATTCTAAGATAAGCATCAGGTTGTTTATTTTACTAAATTTAAAACAAAATATTAATGACAATTTTCTGACACCGTTTGTTTTACAACCATATATGACGAAATTTCAAGTTTATTTCACTATTCGTAAAAATGGTACTTATTTGAATTTCACAGTAACTACTTCGAAAATGTGTGGAATTACATACAGTAGTACTTCGGTATTTTTCCGAGTTTTAAATAAAAATTAGAGTCAGTTAATTCAAGGGGGAGGGTGGTAGATTGGGTGGCTAGCGACCCCAATTCTCAAATTGCAACATTTTGGGGACATGCGCCATTGATTCTGCAAAGCCAAGATACAAGCCATCCCTTACCCCTTGAAAAATCCTAGATCCACCCCTGTTTTCTCTAGTTTTAATTTCACTATTCTGTTCACTCAAGAGACTTCCAACATCTGTGAAGGCAATTATGGTACTGCCCTATCATGCAAACAATGTAAGAGAATTTAATGTGATATTTTTAGAGAACTTAACTACGTTTGCACCTGCAGCTATTTTTAAAGAGATGCGGGAGTTAAATTTTCAATTTCTCTCATTGTCGGCTTTCCTTAGGAAAAAATGATGTTTCTCTCGAGGCAATATTACGAAAGATATTTAGCGGGGGAAAAATTGTTAAAATTTGGATTATCAACAAATANGGGAGGGAATTGTTGAAATTTGGATTATTATTATTATTATCATTATTTTGGACAGGTGAAAGCTTAAAACCACGCATACGAAAAAATTTAAACGAACTTAGAATGGTGTTGTTAAGCAGTCCGAAACCGAAAAAAAAACCTTACAGTTTAATAAGAAGAACACATTCCCTTCAGTGAGTAATTTGGCTCAAATGAAGCCAAACTAATCATTAAATTAGCGGGCGCTCAGACAAGAGACATATTTAAGGGGTTTGTTTATTTTCTAAACAAAAGCAACACAACTCATCTACGAGTAAAATTTCAGTAGGAGTGCGTTTCAACCATGCAAAAGTGAGTTTCAAGTCAAGAAACTCGAGCGAATATTAAATTGTAGCGCCAACAGAAATCTGATAACTGTGAAACTAGTTCATGGTTGAAAAACGTTAAGACACGGACTTCATGTTGCCCTTGTGTCGTCAACAATACTCATTAGAAATTATCCACTTTGTTTTCCACTTTGTTCTTTAAAAAGTTTTAACAGGTCCATGCATGATCCTGTTTGGTCCTGACAGATTTTACAACTACTTCGTCGCTTGTGAATATTAGGCTTTTTGAGTGGAATTTATGGGTACAGAAACCAACAATTGATTATGCGAAAATGTGAAAGACATTTCTTTCATTTTTCGAAGCTTTTTTTAGACTTGTCTGGGGGCAATTATTTCGATTATTACGCAGACTGCCAAGTTAAGCGCCGGCATTAACAGGTCTACTCCAACTTCCAGTTTTTCAATCGACATAAAATATTTATCTGTCTAAAGTAAGCAGCTGCAATAGACAAAGGAAAATTGCGTTTCAATTTCCAAGGGGAAGTTTTCATGATCTATGACGCATTAAAGCCAATTATCTCCTTTCAATAAAGAAACCAAACTTTGGCGTTTCAATTTCAAAATGCGCCGAGTTTGAAAGGCGCACTGGCAAAATTACAGATTCAAGAGCAGCTAAATAAGCAGAATTTTTTGGCTGAGGAAGTAGAGTTTTCGTAGCCAGTCGAGGTCATTGTCGGTAAGAGCTGTAATCTGTATTCATTTGTCTTGCCGCCCTGGTTAAACATTTTTCAATTAATTCTTTGAGTAAAAAAAGATACGAAATGTTTGTATGTTTGTATGTTGAAGCCAACTGAAAACCGTCTTCGCGGGTTGGGTTCCCCCGTTAAACATTATTATTACTTTATTTTATCATACGTTTTATGGATCCGAACTCAGTGACATCGTCTTGCCATAGCATCAATGTCATAGTTAAAAACATGATATTTAAATGCTCTCAGCACACTTTTGTTGCTAATAATTTTTAGTCTTGTTCTTTTCTTCACTTACATCTTTTCCATTTTAGATCGTAATGTGAAAAACTTTGCGCCATTCAAGTTAAAATGATGTTATCTCTCTTACTGCTGCTGTTTCTCAAACAAGCTATGGTAAGTGTTTTTCGAAAATTTCTCTTCAAAACTACACTATATATAGCTAGCTGTTCGAAAATTTGAGCGTTACCAAAAGGAAACAGGCTTATTATGTCCATGATTTTAACACCAGAATACGTGCCTTTTGAAACTCTTAAAATGACCGTTTTTCGCCTACTTGGGCGTGTAACTTTTAAAACAAGGTTAGAAACAACACTGGATGTGGCGATGTCAAAATAATGACAATTTCTTTCAGTAGCTCTTAAATTTATTACACTATAGTCTCACAGCTGTATTTGTTCCATCAATCGAGGTCTTTTCGAAATTTATGAGCAATTAAAGCAATGTAACTTCTGTTCTACAAATTCCATGAAATAAATCGCTGTATCCTGTTTGGTCTAGGNTATTTGTTCCATCAATCGAGGTCTTTTCGAAATTTATGAGCAATTAAAGCAATGTAACTTCTGTTCTACAAATTCCATGAAATAAATCGCTGTATCCTGTTTGGTCTAGGTATCGCTCTCATTTCTCAAAGAGGTGCTAAACAATGTTATCCATTACAAAGAATTGCTCAGTGTTTTCTTCAGTAAGTTCTCATTCTCTCTTTAATGAGGACAGCCAAAACTTATTTTAAAGCTGATTTTCCTGCTCCTATTTAGGCTCAATCCGTAATGCCTCAAGCATCTTGTGTTTACTCAAAGGGAGGAGACCCGAGGCTGGTGGTTTATGTATCGTTGGCTAATCAGTCTGAACCAATTCTGCAAAGGTATGGTCTAACATAGCATTACATTCTTCGATTTCAATTTTTTTCGCATGAAGTCAGTGCCTATGAAGTGAAAAATAATTCCTGCTTATTTGAAAGGCTTTTCAAAGTAAAGAAGAACGGCGTTTTTCTTTTTGGAATATCTTTTTTCGTTTTAGAGATATTCACGTTTTTGTATTATGCAAATGACGAAAGTGATGACGGTATAGGTGGTTCCTCTAAAAACAGCACAACAAATCAATCAAGAATAACTCTAGAAATATTAAAGCAGTGTTCTTCAAACTTGGCACCAGCAATGTACATCACAAAAGAAACAGAATGACACCTACTATGCTGTTGCCATGGCAACACTCTTGGCTCCAGTCTCTTTCGGTGAGAAACCAAATATCCCCATTTGCAATTTTTTCAAGTGGGACAGAGGGTCTTGCTCGGAACACAAATGGTTCCCATATTGTCTTAACTCTCTCCATTAGATTGGTGGGATGATCCTCGTTTAAGATAAAATCTGGGAATTTTAGTCTTAATTAAAACAGAACCAGCGGCATAACTGTTGTCATGGCA